AGTACACGCAGGCTGAGGGGCAGGGCACTGACAAGACGGGGCACCTCCCCAGCGCACCCTTGCCGACACCTTGGGGTGCACGGTCCAAGATCGGCCTCCCCCACCCTCTTGCGCTCCTGTTATCCTCGCGCTCTGCTCTGCTCCTTGGCGCCCCAATATTTGCGCCCATCTCCACTCATCCCTGCCGCCCAGGATGGGTAAAACACCAGCCTTCCAGCCCCCCAGACAGCCCCGCGGCGCACCCAAGCGCTCCCCGCCCACCTGGGCCTTACCTGGCTGCGGGGTGGACGGAACCGGCACCCGAGTGTAAGCGCTGGCCCGCGCGCACCGGGGCGCACACACACCGCGCCCGCGAGCGTCCGCTGGCTGCAGCGCGCTTCCGGTTGTAACACGGGGGTTGCGGCACCGGGCGCCCCCCGCGTGGGCCCGATAAGCTATCGCCCCGCCGGGAGGGGCAGTCAGCGGCGGCCAGGGCACCACCTCGGCCGGCTCCCGGCTCCTGGCCCGGCTCCCTGCCAGCGGCGCTCCGGACGGCAGCGAGATGCCTGCCGAGGCGTTTCTGGTTACAATCACCTCACACACGGGCTTGCATTCCGCACCCCCATCCTTACCGCTAAGTCTGAAATCACACCTTCTCCCGGGCTGGGGAGCCGGGTCGGCGTGGGGTGGCGATGAGTGCCGGTCGGAGATTGTTAATCTAGAGCGCTCCGGCAGGTCTGTAAAAAGAAATATTTTCGGTGGTCAGAAAAAATGAACTTTGGGTCAATATAACAGTCCCCCCACCAAGCCACCAGGAGCTGAAGTTTGTACCCAATTAACCGGCATGGTTGTGTGTCCTGATTATTTTCTGGAAGGGCTGAAGCATAGGGTTCCATGGACTGATTTGTTCTCCTTCAGAAGCAGTGGTTAGGGGTTCAGAAAAGCTATCCTTGCCCCTTATGTAGCCTAGGAAAAGGGGATCGTGTAATAGCTGCTATTTATTGAGTGCTTCTGTGTTTTAACTCTTCAGAGAAGCTTGTGAGGCAGGACCTGTGATTTCCCCATCTGGGGGGATGGCCAGAGGCATCCTGGAAGGGTGATGTCCCCAGGTGTCCCCAAGCCATAAGGACATCAACCTCCAGTGCCCCTCAGAGGTCTCACTAACAGGCCTTGGCACTCAAGGTCTGTGGAAAGTTTGGCTTCAGCAGTGAAGAAAAAGGGTCACCTACTGGCTGGCCTTGGGGAGCAGTCCAGCCAGGGCATGGGGTGACAGAGGTGAGACCCAAAAGGCACTGTGACTTTGTGTCCAGAGGTGAATCCCAAGTACCAGTGGCTCCTAACTGGCCCTGGATGTGAGACTGACAGGCATCTGGGTACAGTGAAGCCCAGTGTGTCCCCAAGTCCTGGTGATAACTGTCACCAAAATGTTTGCCTTTCCCTCTGGACTCTCAGAGGCACACATGTATGCAGCCCAGTCGCCCTCTCCACCTCTCTGTCTGCTGGTTCTGTTTCTCTGCTCAGTAGGGATGAGGAGCCAGGCCCTCGCTGTGCCTCTGGGGTCACAGGCTCTGGGGAACCCCCTCCTCCCCCCACCCCCGCATCTGATCCTCAGGCAATTAACCTCACCCACCCGCTCCCTACCAGCTTCCTTGAAATAAATGTGACAGACGTGAGCCTAATGATCTGCAGAGGAAGATCTATATGCCCTGGACTCGGCACATGGCTCCCTCCGCCCTGGGTCGCACAGGCAGCCCGACTTCAAAGAGCGGCCTGTTGGTGATATTCGGGGTTTCCTGGCTTTCAGGAAACAAACAAACAATCAGCCAGGTTATTTGGGTGAGCTAATGGCTCTGCAGGGCCCTGATGATGATGATGATGATGATGATGATGATGGTGATGATGATGGTATATTTATTGACAACACGTGTCATGCTGTGATTTATTCCTTTGCAGCAACCCCCCATAGCAGACAATAGATCACCCCCATTTTCCCTCTGTGGAAGGCTGAATCAGGAACCTATCTCCCCAGAACTACTTGGTGGTGGAGGAAGATCTGAACCGGATCCAGCCGGCTTTAAAAATAAGTAATAGGATCTTAAAAATAATAAATACACATGATTAAAAAACTCAAGCAAGAAAAGAGGACGCAGTGACCCGTGACCTGGACCCGGCACCCCGCCCTCTCCCGGCTAAGTTGAAATCAGGGTTGTGGGTGCGTATCTGTTTAATGCCTGCATGTGCAAAAACATTTTCTGGGTCTGGGCAGCAGCTTCCCTTTCAAAAGCTGCAAATGAGGCTCCCAAGCAAACAGCTCTGCATTTTGCAACTTTATTATTCTGTTAATTTGAAGCTGTGCTTTCCAAGTCAGGGCTTAAAAACGTGCTGAGCGGGAACGGAGAGTTGGCTTAGCAAAAAGAGTCAGGCTTCGCTGGGACCGGCTTCCCGGAATTGTGCTGGGGTCGGTGGGGCTGCCGGAGACCAAGGCTGGGGGTGGACAGGGAGGGAGAGGGCGAGCCAGCGAGAGGCAGGAGGGAGCAGGGAGCGGGTATCAGGCAGCGCAGACATCGCCTGCATTCCACGGGGAGATAGCAGATGTCCCAGGAACAAAACATGCTCATCCGCTCTTGGCACAGGAGTGTCGCTGCACTGGCGTTTCAGAGCAGGGTTTCAAAGCCTTAAATGGTGTCTGTCTCCGAGCAGGGCAGGGCCGAACCCATCCCCCGTTGTGCACCTCGGGGGCAGGCGGGCTGTAGCTTGTGGCGGGGAGGGTCGAGTGACACAGACTCCGTGGACAGCAGGAACTGGGGCACAGAGGAGCCCGGCCTATTTCGGGCCTGGCCTTTCCTGTGATCCTTCCTGGAGTGGGGTCCCAGGACCTGTGCCGCTGGCTCCCTCCATCCCGTGACCCCACGCCATCCTGGCTTGGTTATTTTTTTTTTTTTAAACTCCTTTTATATGCTTGGGTTCTGAGATGGTTTGTGTATTGGGCTGTCACCGTGTGACGGACAGGTGGGCAGGGCCAGCGGCTGTCCCAGGGCCTGAGGAGTCTGTTTAGAGAAGGGGGGGGGTGCAGCTGGATGCTGGGACCCAAGAGGACGTCCTGTCCCTGATTCAGAACCCTGGTGACCGGTGACCCTGTCCACTCACAGTAAAGCACAGTGACCCCTCCGTCTGTGCGGGGTCTCCACTTTCACTCTGTTACCTCGGGGGTCTCTAAGTGGCTCCCCTCCCCCTCCGCCCTCTTTCCTTTGTCCCCCGCCTCCCCCACCAGCAGGAGAAGGATTCCTAATTGTGCAGCCGGCCTCCTTCCCTCTTTCCTTCCTCTCCCTCTTCCTCCCCTTCCTTCCCGCCTTCTCCTGTTTTCCCTTCTTCCCTCCACCCGCCTCTGCCTGTTGGCACTTCCCCACCCCCTACCCCAGAGGGCTAACCGGCTCCCCCCCCTTTTTCATCCCTCTTTTTTCCCCTCTTCTTTTAGCTTTATTATTTGGAAGAGGAAAATTTCTAATGAGAAAGGCAGGCCAAGTTTCTGAGGCCCCAGATTTCAAAGGTTTGGGGGAAAGGACCTCAGCGAAGCAGCAAGTCCCTGTTACCAGGTAGAGGAAGGGATGTAAACTGAAGCCATCTTACTGGAGGCGGTTTGAAGTTTAAAGTTTTACCCATGCCTTTTCTTCAAGAAAAGTGTTTTGGAGAAATAATCAGATATGTGGGCAAATATTTTATATAGAAGAATGTTCATAGCAGTGAAATGTGTAATAAGATAAGAACTTGGCTATCTCAAAGTAGGAGATTGGCAAAATCACGTTTTATCTAGAGATGGAATACTATGCAGCCATTAAAAATATGATCTTAGTTTAAAAAGTGGGTTAAAAGTAGTATGTACTTTTATGATTCTATTTACTTCATGTGCATGTGTGTGTGTCTGTGTATATGTATAAGGCACACAGGTTAACAAGATAATAAATGGGTACCAAGCCAGTTTTGAAAGGTTTATATCTTTTTATCTCTTTCACTCAAAGCTTTGATGTGGTAAAGCTACAGTGCCTTATTATGTTGTTCTATGGCCACACAGAGAGCTGTGCTCTGTATGTGCCCTTAAGCACTGCCTCTTGGTGAACGTAGCTAGTGAGAAAGATAGTTTTAAATCCTTTGCCTTTTGGGGGTTCTCTGGCCCTTTTTTTGCCCCTAAGCCAGGATTCTAGGTTCTGGTTCCTGAGTCCAGGTTGCACCAGCAAACCCACCTCACGGTTGCAGCCTGCTTGGGCCCCTTCTTGTGATAGCAAGCAGCTGGCAGACCAGAGGAGGTGGGGCCTGGCTCCTCCCTCAGATGGTTTGGGACCAAGAATCGGGGAGCTGGCTCAGAGACAGGTCACACAGGCACCAGAGCCAGGGGCTCCTGGGTTCGGGGGACATTCGGCTGCTCAATGCACAAACCTAGCAAAGCTAAACCGGAAATGGCCATGTTTGGGGTTGCAGATGCTGGAGAGAGGTCTGGACTGAGAAGTGCTGCCGGCTTCCTAGAGAAGGGAGAGGAGAAGACACCCAGACACAGGCCTGCAGACCCGGCCCCCAGGAGGTGTCCCGGCACTCCCAAGGGTCTTCCCTGGCTCTGAGCAGGGCCTGGGACCCATGAGCACCAACCCCAATCAAAGCAGTTGATTGACTGACTCCATGCAAAATGCCCTCACCTTTGCTGCAGGTTTCTCTCTGTCTGTCTTTCTTTCTCTGCCGTACAGGGGGTTGAACCCAAGGCTTCCACGCTGAGCTACACACCCAGCCCTTTTAAAATTTTTTATCTTGAGACAGGGTCTCACTAAGCCCCCGACTGCCCGGGCTGAGCTTGGACTTGCAGTCTTCCTGCCTCAGCTTCCCAGGGTGTGGGGATTACAGGTGTGAATCCCCACGCCTGCCCTCAGTGTTTCTCAAACTCGTTTCTGTGTCAGCCGGGCGTATAAACACCCATTCCCTTGCCCCTCTCAACCCCACTGAGTCAGGACTTCTGATCTAATATTTTTTTTTGGCAGTGCTGGAGCTGGAACCTGGGGCCTCATGCATGATGAGCAGGTGCTGTCCACCCCGAGCCAGGCCCTGGGCTGAGAGCTGCATGCTCCATGTACTTTAACTGGACATGGACACTTCAAGGTCACCTGAAGCACTTTCCAAGGTGAGTGTCCTTATTACCCCCATTTTACAGGTGAGGAAGCAAAAGCCCCAAGAGACTCACTCTCCACAGTGGCAGGATTGGAACCCAAATCCTTACTTTCTCTTGCTGTGTGTCTGGTTTTGTTCTTTGCTACAGGGCAGGGAATGGACCCCAGGGCCTTGTGCAGGTCAGGCAAGAACTCTGCACTGACCTCCAAGAGCCCAAGTCTTTACTCTTATTTATTTATTTTTGAGACAGCATCTTGCTATAGAGTCCAGGCTGGTCTTGAACTCACAATGTAGCCCAGGCTGAGTGATTCTCCTGCCTCAGCCTCCCAAGTACTGGGCTTACAGGCAACCATCACTACACCCAGCTCAAGTCTTCTAAAAGTTCCAGGAAGGGACGTGTGTGTGTGTGCAGGCTGTTTTCAGTGGCAGCCTACCCATCATCCAGTGCAGCTCAATATTTTTATACCATAGATCACCGCTCGTCTAGCAGAGGTTGGACCTGGCTCTGAGATTTCAGAGGTGCAGAGATCACGAAGAACAAACATTAGCCTTTCTGGGTGCGAGACTTGAATTCCTCTGTGATCATCTCTTCCTCAGTTTACCCACCCGGGAAGTGGGGAGAAGGACCCTGAGAGAGGTGTGGGGGTTAAGCAGGAAGAGGCTCTGGGAACCATTAGGGAAAGAGAAAAGCAAGAGCCCAGAGCCCAGAGCCTTCCATCGTAACCCTGGCGGCCCTGGTCCCCCGACTGGGCCATCCTTCTCTCCCTGAACCCCAGTTCCCTGAGCTTCCTGCTCAGGCTCTCTGCGAGTCCCATTAGCTCAGAATCCCAGTTCTTACAGTGTGGTGCGGGATGTAAGACTTGGGGAGCCAAGGCTCTAAAGTACACCTGGGCTTTGGAAAGTTTTTCCAGGTCTTTGAGAAAGGAAAATCGGCCTCCCTGAGAAAACAAATTCTCCTCTCACTATAAGTGCGGGTTATCAATCGGAATTCTGATGACTCTGGGGCTGACAATTTTAACAAGCACTTAAGTCTCACCCTGGCCCTTTTATCTGAGTGCTAGGCAAACATTGTTAAACACACAAGCCGAGGAGCCCAACGGTCTCATCTGCAAAGCAGAGGACCTAGGCTGAAGGCCGGGCCGCCTCCCACCTCCGGGGCAGCGCCCATCAATGCCTGGCAAGGCTTAGAATTAATAAGTCTGGACTCTTGCACTTTTGACCCAACTGTTAGATAACAATTCCTTTAGTGCGGCCGTGGGTATGAAGAGTCAATGTGATAAATAGATGACATTTTATTTATCTAACTTTCTGGAGGACTGGTGTTTATTTTAAAAGAGAGGAATGTAATTTATAAATAATTTATTTGCCCAGGCATGAGGTAAAACATGGGATCCTTATGTGCAGTAAAAAAGCCAAAAAGGGGTTCCTCATACTCTATGGACGGCAAAAAATTTTCAGAAAGTCCGGACTCCTCGATGCCTGAATCAGTGGTGTTTTTATTCACTTTCCTGATATTTCCCCACAGTTTCATGTGCAAAAACACATTTACCATTTGTCACGGAGCAGTTGTGATTCTACAACACTTTGTTCGTCTTTAAAGGTAGGAAACATTTAACTGTTCCAAGATTTAGAGGAGGTAAAATACAGAATTGCACATCTGACAGAGCTAAAGGTATCATACAGCCATACACGCAGCCCGTGTTTATAGCACAAAAACTCACAACAGCTAAACCCCAAGAGCAGCCCGTATACCCACTAAGAGAGGAGGAGAAAGGAAATGTGGTAATTATACACCGCAGAGTCCTGCTCTGCCACAAAGAAGGACAGACTTCAGCCTCTGTGGGAAAATGGGTGCCCTGGAGACGAACGTGTTAAGGGAAACAAATGAAACCCACAAGTACATCTTAGGTGAGAAATCCAAAGTATAACAGAAGAGGAAAAATAAAAGACAACGGTAGGAACAGAGAGAGAGAGAGAGTTCTTTCTCAAATGGGGAGGAGGTCAAGAGATGGGGGAGGAGAGGGGAAAGGAGATGAAAAAAAGGAATTAGGATGTGTTACGCACACATAGCAACCCCTGAGGAAGGTAAGCGTTCTATACTGCAAACATGTACTGATAAAAAATTAAAGTATGTGTTCAAAAATTTTAAAAAAGTATGCATCTACAAAATCCCTAACTCTCTGTCCATCTGTCTGTCTTCTCTCTTACACACAATCACTAAGTTTTTAAAAAGATTAAAAACAGTTGGTTGCATTTCTTCAAAGTATCCCAACAGCCCATCAAAATAACAGGTGAACAGAAATTCCATTTCCAGATGCAGTTGCAGATTTGCACAATGATGCATGCCTACCAGTGCAATTGTTACTGTAATTATGTTGGGAAAACACAAGATTGGGAAGCTTTTTAAAATTGAATTCAGCGCTTGGGAGGCTGAGGCAGGATCGATGCAAGTTTGAGACCAGCCTGAAGTACATAGTGAGACTGTGTCTCAAAAAAAAAAAAAAAAAGATAGGGGGCTGGGTATTTAGCTCAGCATCATAAGCACCTGGCTTGCAAGCAGGTGGTCGTGAGTTCGATCCCTGGTACCGATAAAAAAAGATAAATAAATCTTTAAAATCTAATTTTATCTTGAGACATATTTTTGCTAAGTTGTCAAGGCTGGCCTTAAATTTGGCAACCCTCCTGCCTCAGCCTTCTGAGTAGCTCGGATGACAAGGGAACGCCATAGTACCTGGCAAGGAAGTTTTTAAATGCCCAATGATGGGTGCTCAGTTAGACGAACCACAGCTTAATCCCTCCACAGGAATCCTAGACAGACATCAGGAAGAGGAAAAGAGGAAGCCGCTGTGAGACACACCACTAAGGAAAAAGTTCGGGTGCACAGTGTGAGTTTATAGAGACAGAGTCCACAGGAAGTGATTCCAACAGGTTCCTCTGGGCCGGGGAGCTGGGCTGCTTACGCCAATGGTGGGAGGCAGGGTTTTTACTGTTTATACTTCTGTAGCCTTGCAAATGCTTTCTGTTAATTTTTATTAAAGTCTAATTCCAGCACAGTGGTGCATACCTCCTCAGGAGGCTGAGGCAGAAGGATCTAAAGCTCGGGGCCAGAATGTGAACCTTAGCCAGATCTTACCTCAATCAATCAGTCGATCAATATTAAGGAAGGGTTGGTGATATAGCTCAGAGGGCTCAATCCCTCACATACTAAATAAATAAATTACAAATAGTAAGGCAGCGAAGAATATGGGTCTCCATGCAAGAAGAAAGTTGAGAAAAGACAGAGTTGACTGTCTTCGGACGATGTGGTCACTGGATACTTCTGTACTTTTTCTGTTCATTTAAATTCCTGCCATTTCTGAAGTGAACACAGAGAACATTCTTTTGTAATTTTTTTTAAGGAGTAAGAAAGTAAGTGTATGACTTCCCCCTCCTGCTTGCCCTTCATGGTATGGATTCCTTTATATGTGTATTTGAGATCTCTGGAACGGTCACTGTAAAATGCCTCGGGGTGGTGGGATGCAGGGAAAAAGCTCCTTAAAAAGCAGCTTCTGAGGCTGTGGGGGGGATGAGAAGGGTTTCCAGACGCACACGGATGCCAACCCGTGAGAAGAGAACGTGGATGCCTGCACCCGGACGGGGGAGATGGGCTTGTGAACTTGGTGACCTCCATCTCCAGCAATCCTGCCAAGGAACCCAAGAAACCAGCTCCTGACCATGCCCGGTGGGCAAATGAGGAAAGGTGAGATGTGATGGAGATCTTTCAAGACATCGAAGGTCCCCAAGGACCAGGGAGAGATTCCACCTCTCCCTTTCATCAATAACGATGACAAGAATTGTCCTCTGGTTCACTGCAGTCAGATTCTTACAGGGTGAATTACTCTAGGTGCACTTGTTTAATTCTGTTTGTTTTTATGAGGATTAAACAAGAAAACTGCCCTTGGCCAGTGGACAACCCTTGCACCTGACCATGGCTGTACTCTGCACTGACTTCATTCGATTTAACGTAAGGCATAACTGTGGTGCATACTCTCACAGCTTCTGTCCTGCTGGGTGAGTTAATTCTGAGCTCTGTGGTCTACACTGGCTCCCAGAGTTCCGTTTCCTGGTATCACCTTCAAATAAACTGCTTGCCCTTGAAACCTTATCTCAGAATCTGTAGACCTAGCCTGGGACATCTCTTTTAAGATCCTGCACCTCTCTTTTGTCTTCTCTTGTGTAGCAAATTCCTTCCATAAAGCATCTGACGAGTTTCCAATCTCATTCAAGGCAACTTCCCCCAAGTTCACGGTTCCTTGTGACTATCTTCATCTGAGATGTTTACCCCAAAGGATTATTGTGTTGGTGACACGGTCGCTGATGGGCTTTGGGGAAGTGATCGGATGGATCCCTAGAGCTCTGACTATCAAGTGGATTCATCCACTCACAAGATCATAATTGGGTGGTTCTCCTGGGAGATGGAAAGGGGAGGAGGGGCCTTGCTGAAGGCTGAGGGTCACGGAGGTGTTCCCCTGGGGACTGAATCCGGTCCCCAGCTCCTCCTTCCCTGGCTTTCACCCTCTCCTCTTCCTGGCTGCCACAGATGAGCAGCTCTGCTCTGTGATGCCTGTCCACCATGGCTCTGTCTGGCCACAACAACCTAAGGGCAATGGAACCAGCTGGCCACGGCCTAAGACCTCAAAAACCGTGAGCCAAATTAAATCTTTGCTCCTCCTGTTGATAAGGAAACCGAGGCTCAGAGGTAAAGCCATTCCCCAAGCGAGCACGGTAAGCAAGGGCAGAGCCTTGATTCAAAGCTGCCTACTCCACGCCTTTCCTTATCTGTGATGTGACTCTGTTTTTCCTCCTTTCAAAAGAATATTTTCTATTTATAGATCACTTTATACTTTTTCTGCATAATAGCTCATTCAAGCCTCATAGCAGCTCTGTGAAAACATCATTTGCATTTTTTTTTTTTTTTGTCTTTCTCTTTTTTATTGGTACCAGGGATCGAACTCACGACTGCCTGCTTGCAAGGCAGGTGCTTATGCCGCTGAGCTAAATCCCCAGCCCATCATTTGCATTATTGTCATTTACAGGTGAAAGCTTTGAGACCCATAGACCATAGATCATCTGGCCAATAAGAAGTCTTTCCACTTCCGGACCAGGCCTGTGGCACCCCCAGGCCCGTGTGCACACAGAAAAACTTTTCAGATGTGCAGAAGCCATATAAATATTGGGAGTGAGCTGGGGTGTAGCTCCTTGGGGAGCGCTTTGTGAACATGTGGGAGGTTCTGGGTTCTGTCTCTAGCATTGCAGAAACATTAAAAAAAAATAAATCACAGCAGTGTCCAGCACGCAGCTGACCCACATCACAACTCGAACTTAAAACAAGCTAGGAGAACTGTGGCTTTGGTACATTTTACGACAAAGGGCTAGTAAACGGTTAGGGCTGGGCTGAGGCCTCTGGACCTTGGGGAAGAGATATGTAGGAATCATCTAGAAGCACAGGGGAGGCCGGGATGGCCCTGCCCTGCGACCTGACTCAGTGCTGTGAGGCTCACCCCGGAGCCAGCGCGATGTGACAGCCAATCACAGGAACCGGTTCCCCTGACCATTGATTGGTTCATTCTGGCCAATGACGCGAAGGGAAGGAGGGGTTTTCAGAGTGGGAGGAGCTATGGATACCTAGTTTTGGTTACTCCTTTAGCAGGCTGCCTGGGAGCTCTGAGCACACTGAGGTCCCCACAAGCGTGGCCCCAGGTGTCCCCTATGGCAGTCCCAAGAGGGAACTGTAACAGGAGCTGCCCAGCAGAACCAGTCAGCCCAGAGAACAAGAAAGAAACTCCCGGGGAAAGTTTCTTTGCTTTAACTCGGCTTCCTTGTTTCCTCTGGACCTGTGAGGCCCAGATGCAGCCACTGTGGGCACCCGGGACATCCGGTTGAGGGCAGGGTCCACACCCAAGGAAGGAACAGCAAAAGGGGTGCGAGGGTCTGGGGAAAACTCCCCCAGGCTGGGGCCACGTCTTCTCTCTTAGCAGCCCTGTGAAGCCAGGCTGTGTGTTACCTGGGCCAGAACCTCCCCAGCCAAGGCGGCCCCAGGCCGGAGAGGCTGATCTGAGCCCTGTGGGTGGAGTGAAGCTGAATCACCTTTGCTCCGGGTCCTAGCTGCTCTGCCCTCGGCCTTGGCAAGATGCTGGGCTTCCTTCTGAGCCTCAGCTCCTCCCCTGTGTAGAGGAGAGGATAAGACGTGGGGAGGGGTTGAATGGATTCAGAAACAGGACTCCTGCCCCAGGCCTGGCCCTCAGGAGATGGACAGATTCTAGGAGCAAGACCCTCACTCACCAGGTCCCTGCTGTGCCCTGGGCCTCGGACACCTTTCCAGAAAAAGAGTGGGACCTGAGGACAAACAGCAAGGACCCCAACTGCGTCACCGATTCCCAGCCTCCTCCTGGCCCTCAGTCCACCCAGCACATCAGGGCCCCAGGTGCCCGCCCGCCACACACCTGGTTCTCCATCCGCTTGGGGCGACCTCTGCTTTGAAGTTAGCTGTCCACACCACCTGCTCCCAACTGGCTCGAAATTGAAGTTTAAAATCAACTGAAGTTTCCTCCCTGTCCCAGCGCCGTTTAACTCTCTCCCATAAACGGAAGCTCATGTACAGAGCACAGGGGAGCGAGCACTTGAAAGGCGCCCCCCGGGCTCCGTTTAATCAGTGCCAACGGCGGCTTTGCTGTGTAGACAGTTCTCAAGTGGATGTGGCAACCAGATAGCGCGGAAATGAGGAACAGGGGCCACGGTGCCCCCCACCCCATGTCTGTTTGCTTTACGGGGAGAGGGGGGAAGCTCGTCATCAGGTGAGGATGCTTCTGGGGTCCACCTGGATCTCTGCGAGTCACCTGGTCACAGTGATCTCAGCCACTCAGGACGCTGAGCTGAGACAGGAGGATCACAAGTTCGAGTCCTACCTTAGCAAGACCCTGTCTCAACCTACACTAAAAAGGGATGGGATGGAGCTGTGGTCCCTGGGATTGGTCCCCAGTACCAAAGACAAAACAAAACGAGAACAACCAGACACAAACAAACAAAAACCGACGAAAGGAACCCTCCACAGCAACCAGAAGAGGGACTTAGAGAGGAGGTCGAGGGCTCTGCCAAGTCCATTGTGCCTGTTGTTATGGCCGGAATGTGTTTGGGTTTGTTGATGGGTCTACTGTTAAATATTTGGCCAGTTGCTCATTAGGAGAACTCTTAAAACTCACCAGCCTGTTCTCTATCTTTAGAAATGGAGACAACAACGAGAGAGGAGCCGGAAAGATGTTGACCAGAGGTCGCAGCGTTGCAGTCAGAGGGAATGATTATGTTTAGGACAGCTGCGGGGGGGGGGGGGGGATGGTGGCCACACTTCATATTCTTGGTGACCTTTCCTATTCCTCATGCGTCCATGTGTGATATTTGGGATTAGATCTGCCACTGAGCTACACTGTACCACCGAGCCACATCGTCAACCCTGCTGACTTTTTTTTTTTTATGGGTACCAGGGATCGAACTCACAACCGCACACTTGCAAGACAGGCGCTTATGCCGCTGAGCTAAATCCCCAGCCCCCCTTACTTACTGTTTAAGATAGGACCTCCCTAAATTGTTCAGGCTGGCCTCGAACTTTTGATCCTCCTGGCTTGTATTATGTTCTTAGTTGTTGCTAAGAAAAGAGATTGTAAATGTTTTCATCACAAAAATAATAAGAAGTAGGTGACGGAGTGGGGTGTAATCAGGTTCCTTGAGCTCTTCCTCCAGGTGGCCATGTTTCAAAAGGTGTTGCATGCAATACACGTAAACCTTTCTTACATGTCAATTAAAACCAACCCATCAATTTTAAAAATAGAAAAAGAGAGACTTTGATTTAGCTTTGGGCTCTGGGGAAATCCCCAAAATGGGCGAGAAAAGGCATCTTTTTGAGTGTGATGGAATTGGGTGTTGTTTGCACTACTGTGGGCACAAAGGGTGTTTGTTGAAGGGAAAATTCATCCAGGCTTGAGCTGTCACACAGCCCTGCGGGAGAGATGTTTTATGGAGAAAGGTGAGGAAAGGACGGGAGGACCTGGCAGTGATGGACGGGTCCCCCGGGAAGCGTGGACACCTACCCTTCCTGTCACCTTGGATGGGAGGAGTGGAGGCCACCTGAGCACCCATTCTCCTCGGGGCACCTTTCACTGTGCCAGTGATGAAGCTGTCTGAGGACAGAGGCTGCTCGCCATGGGGAAGTCGTTGTGCCTGGTTTAAGGTCTGTAGTAGATACAGTTTCGTGGACAACTTTGAATTTCCTTTTTGAGTAATCTCAGCAAGGCTTGCTGGCTTTCCCATTGATCAGTGGCTCATGTGATTGGAAGTGATACAAACTGAACTTCAATCTACTTAGCTAAAAAGGAATTTATCAGCTCTTGAAACTGGCAAGTCTAGAAACATTGAGGGCTGCAGGTACGGCTTGACCCAGGAGCTCAAATGTAATTGTCGGCTTTCTTCCCCACCCCCCCCCTTAAAACACTGAAAGTAAATGAGATGGATTCATCCATGAATGAAGTCACTCAATGAAAGGTTGGTGGAGACATTTACAGTGGAGGGAATCCCACTGTCACCACCCAAGTCTCCTTATTAATTTTAATGTTCAATCACAAGGGGGCCAGACAGACAGATACGGAGAGAGCCCTATGCAGTATTCCTGCAAAGTGTCCCATCTGAACCCTTAAGTCCTGACTCCCTATAAAGCAGCCCTAAAACGAGGATCCAAGTGTGTATATTTTGGAAGTGTTTTCCGTAAGTGCTGCGGAGGGATTGGGTCGAGAAGGGGAAGCGGATGTAAAGTGTTAGCTATTAAGAAAGTTACCACAGTGGCAAGGAGGGCTCCATCCAGCTTTTCAAAATCTGGTGTAAACCATGCCTAAGAGCCACCCCAGAAACCAGGTGGCTGGAGCACTTACACAGCGGCTCCCACGATTACTGGCTGGTGTTCATCCTGAGGAGGGTGGTGGAGCCTTAGTTCCCAGGGGCCAGGGAACCCCAGCGCCTG